CGGCCTTCGGTACTGTCTGGACTTCCCCCGAGCACACGTAGTGCCAAGCATTTCTGTTCTCCTGGCCGGAAGGAGTAAACGAGGCACAAGAGATATCCAGCAACTCACTTGTCCTTGGTGCCCAAACCTAGTGGACTTTTGCAGCCCTCAGCACAAAAATGGATACAATTGTGCAGAGAACCATTAACAAGCAGGCTTTAAACCAGAGGAAGATTCATAAGGTCAGAGGAAAAATCTAATAGAGGACAAATCAGGAAAGACAACTGTGAACTCTGGATAGTAGCACCCATTCTAAAGGGATTAGAGTCAATATTCTCTCTGTTTAATATGAATGGCTTGGTGTTGGTGCCAGTCTATCATCTGTGATAGTGCCTGGGTTTTATTTTACAGAAATTGAGACGGTGATATCTTGCCTAACTTTTTACTCTGTTATTTGAGAGAATCTTATATTGAGACCTTCCATTTTTTTGCACATTCTAAAAGATGGGCATCTTGAAATTACCTGGATGACTACTAGCAAGTACAGTTCTGACATTGTTGGGCCTGAATTCTGGAAGCAGGGATTGGGGGCTGGTCAGTGGGGAACAACAGCCGTTTGTGAAGGCAGGGAGCTGATAGCTCGGTGTCTTTGTAACAGGAGGCAACACCATGTCAGCCAATATTTCGTGAAATGAATTGTTAGGAAACACAGAATAGGTTTTTAAGAGATTATACATCCATCAGAACAGGAGCCACACCAAACATTTAGTATAAAAGGACGTGTGAGAAGAAAACTGCAAAGGGCAAGAGATTTCCTCCAATACCTGTGGCTTTGTGTAAGTATCAGTATATAATAGGGAGGTCTGTGCTACTTTAAAATTGTTTTAAATTTTTAAAGAAAAGCCTGTTGACTTGTTGAATTACAGCGGATACCTAATTCTGTGAATGATTTATTAAACATCTAAAATGCATCATTTCCCAAAACAACTGAGTATCAGCTTAGAGGACAAAATGGTTGTATTTCTGCCTAGCAAATAATGTTTGTCATACTAATTATAGGCACATTTGCTTTATAGATGCACCTTTGAACTTGTAGCATACAGTGTGTCCTTTATCTTGACAAAAGGGCAGCAATATGTGCGTGATCTTAACACGACAAGGTTGCACTTTCTTGGAAGAGGTTGGCCTTCTTAGAAGAAGGGAAAGGATTTCAGTCCCTTCATTAAAAACGTTTTAATAGATTTAATTTAATGTAAAATACAAACACAGGAAACACCTTGACCTGTAATAGCAGAATTTTGCCTGATTCATAAAAATTCCCATCTATATGATCATTTTAGTTTTCAAATATTCTATATACAAATTTCAAATCCCTTAGGATAAGCAAGAGAAACTAAGACTTGGAGAGTGAAATATGCCAGGCATTTGGCTGAGAACTTGAATACATTGTTCCATTTAATTTTCATCATAATTCTAGGAGCTGTGCACTCAGGAGCTGCCCCAGAGAATGTGATATCGTGCTGCTTCTGGTTGTAGCAGAGATAAGGCACTCTTTCTATCAATTCCCAATGTCCCTGTTACCAAAAAAATAGAATTAGGGCATGAAAACTCTTTTCTCAGAGAATATGACTTTATCACTGTTAAACCATTTGTATCTTGAGTGATTTTACAACTAGTATAATATGGTAAAATTTTGTTCAGGAAAGGGAACCAAACAGGAGTTTTTCTAGTCAAAATGCAAGTTGTTGTGTATCAGCTTGAGATTATAACTTATATGATGGGTATTATGAGGTGGATATATTCACAATAGACCTTAACATACAATTGGGAAACATTAAACTATTCCTACAGGTTTGGGTCTTATTTATTTTTTAAATTATATTTCCCAGTGTAATATCTGCTCATATGATAACATTCTATGAGAATCCAACAGTACAACTGTGAATTTATATAAATGTTTCTTGGTCCTATTTTCTGTACAATGTATGGTTTTTGACTTTGGAAGGACTGAAGAAAGAGAAATCTAATAGGTTTCTGAAAAAGATTCCAATCCCTGAAGTGCTGGTGCTGATTCTTCATCCCTTAGGTCATTTTTATATAAATGTATAAACATATGGGCGATACCCTAGCAACTACCAAGGACACGTCAGCGGAAAGTCATCCAACGGCATTCCACAGCCCTGGCCCCTCCCTGAGCGGGAGCCCTGGACACTGCCCTACCCCTCCGTGGAAACAGACAATTTCTAATGTACATCTAACTGAACGTATAAGGGGGAAAAAGAGAGAAACACGAAACACAAACTCAATGGCTTTCACAGAATTGGATTCCTCTACAGTTACAAGGGCAGAATTGATTATGGATATTTCTGAATTGTCAAAACTGGGAAAAGTCCTCATAAAGAAAAAAAAATGTGAGACATCTAACTGGTGAGTCAATTGATAGATTGAGTTGATCCCCGCTGAAGTATTAGAACAACAGGTTTCACATATTATCATTGTGAAGTATTTGCGTTTGGATTGAGAATGCTAGAGAGTTAAAATCCTCTCAAGATTTAAGGAATATACCCCAAATTGTGGCCCTTCAGGAATTTTATGCCCTGAGATGACAGGGAGATATTTTGGGAAAGGCAGTCCTGCACCCTGTACAGTTGCCCACTAGAAAGCCCTGGGGCTGGCTCCCCTGAGAAGTCTCACTAGAGACAAATTATGTCAATGTTTGGTATGGCATTCCATCCATATGAAACATTCCATGAAGAACATATTTGGACATGATCTTCATATTTTACTTAACAATTGCTACTTCAATAACCCGGGTCTCCAAATGTCTGGGCAAAAAGTAAAATGTTTCAGATTAAACTGAAATGGAATTTCTTCTATGCATGTGGACTGCAGCCACATTTTATCATAGAATATATCCATGTGATATCTTGATCACGCTTTACTAACTGCACTTTTGATATCTGCTCCGTCCCCTCATCATGGATTCCTTCATGACTCTCTGCTGCGAGCCCTTCCTCTGCCGCCCTTGTTACCAAGGCTACAGTTACCACGGTTACAACAGTGCAGGGACAGAAGGACCCTTGTTCTCATAGGTCATTCTCATCATGGAAAACAAGGAATTTACTATATTCTGTTTGAGGGTAAATTTTGGATAAGAAGTTATAGGAAAGGCGCCAATTAAATTTAGGTGTATTGTTTTAACCCCTAAATATTTCTTGCCAGTCGGAAAGCTATGACATCGAGTGACTCAGAATGGCACCGACAGCAGACCAATTTTGGGCAACTGCACAGAATTGTACAGAGAAAAACACTAGCTATCTCATTAATCAATTATTTATTAAACACGGTAATGGTTAATTTTATGTGTCAACCTGTTTAGGCCACGGTACCCAGATATTTGGTCAAACATTGTAGATGTTGCTGTGAAGGTATTTTTTAGATGAGATTAACATTTAAATCAATAGATGGAGTTGGGTAGATGACCCTCCAAAATGTGGCTGGGTCTCATCCAATCAGTTGAAGACCTTTTCAGAACAAAGACTGAGGTCCTATGGAGAGGAGGAGATTCTGCCAGTGCCTACCTTCCAACTGCAGCACCATCTCTCCCTGGGCCTCCAGCCTGCCAGCTCAGCAGATCCGGACCTGCTGGCCTCCATAGCGGCCAGTTCCGTAAAATGTATCTCTCTTTCTCTGTCTCTGTTTCTCTCTTGGTCTCCCTTGGTATAGATAGATAGGTAGATAGATAGGTAGATAGATAGATAGATAGATAGATAGATAGATGATAGCTAGCTAGATAAATAGATGGATGGATGGATGGATAGATAGATCGATTGATTGATGGATGATAGATATATAGCTATATCCTACTAGTTCTCTCTCTCTGGAGAACCCTAATTAATACAAACACCTGAATCACTTGGAGAGCTGCTGAACCTCTTTGCAATCCAGAGTTTATTTCAAGACTTTTAAAAAGCCAAGTGTACGAAAAGAAGGAGCAAAACTTGTGAGCTTTGCCCATTTATGAAGCATGTTCACATACATATGATTAAACCTTCACGCAACTTTGAATTTCTCATTCTCACCAATTTACAAATGAGGAATCAGAGGCTCAGAGAATTTAAATAACTTGTGCAGCCTCATACAGCTAACACATGAGAAAGCCAGGAAACTAAACATAATATGAAATCTAGTATATTTTTAACCTTTTATTTTGAAAAAATTTTAAACATCAGAAGAGTACAGAGAAGAATATAGTGTTATCTACCCATTACCTAGATTTAACAATTAACATTCATATGTTTTCTTCATCTTTTTCTTTTCTTTTGCTGGAAAGTTTTTTTATAGACATGTTCTTTCATCTTCAAATACCTAGAATGTAATTCTTAGAAAATAGTTTTTCTTACTTAACTGTAGCAGCCGTATCACACGAAACCTAATTAGCAGTAATTCCCCTCTGACCAGCTAATACTCAGCCTATGCTCAGATTTTCACAATTGCATCAAATTGTCTTTGACAGCTGGTTTATTCAAACCAAACTTCAACTGAGGTTACGCTTACCTTTGGTTGTTTAAAAATTTTTTTTCCTTTAATTTAGAACAGTACTCTCTGCTTTTAATCTTGACAGTCACTCGTTGATGTGAATTGCTGACCCATTTATTCTCCCACTTTCTAGAATTCTGTTTTCTCCAGAGGCTGTGTAATTTGCTCCTCTATCCCCTGTATTTCGATCATCTGGAAGTTATATGTTAAAACGTGATTATATTCAGGTTAAACATCTTCTCACTCTACTATCACCCTGATTTCTCGGCAGAAAAATTTTACCCACACTAATTATCCATTTAGCTCTGTCAGTGACTTTTTTGTTGGGGAAGTTGAGAAACGAGGAAATACGTTAAGGAAGACGCTGGGCGACTGGGGCAGGTCTGGTGCTTACACAGATTCATGTCAGAAGGGCTCGCTGCCTCTTGCTGGGTCACCTACTGACTGAAGACCACTGGTGTCCTAATCTCTTTGTATTATAATAAAGGAACGAGGCTCCACTTATGAGAATACAAAGTAAGTGCTATTAGTCTGCCAGCCAAAGACAGGCTTTTTCCAGACATTCACAGAGGTCTGCACAGCTGCAGGCTCTTTAGTGACCGACAGCTTCCCCGGGGCCCAGGAGCGTCTGTGGCTGCAGATCCGTGTACTGGAACCCCAGGTAGGGATTACACCTGTGGTCTGGCTTTATGATAACTGTTCTCCAATTAGCTGAGTTGACCGCTGTTTACAAAAGAATTTACTAAAAAGATATGATGTCTGGAATTTAAGGACTTCGCCTTTCACATCTTTCTCCTTAATTGTACCTCCACCAATATTTTCTTTTCTGTGGAAATAAATTGTAATTTCACTTCTAAAGATGGAGTCAGCATGAGATGGAAAATGTGAATTCCATGCTTAATTCAAGAGACATTTTGTTTGTTTCAAATATTGGGGAGGATAGGCCCCGGGAGAGAAAATTAATAAGTATCTTCTTAAAAACAGTTGCAAATTCCTTTGGACAACAACTGCTTAAAAGCATTAGATTTGAGGGTGCTGGGTTTCAGTCAATAAACAGTTGAGCTCCCACTAAGTGTAAGGCAGTTTGTTAGGGGCTTTGTGGGGACTGCAGGGAGGGCTTTATTTGTAATCATGCATGCGATCCACCACAGGTGACAGGATCCCCTGCCTAGCGCCCTGTCGGGGCGTGTTTCACGCAGAAAGTTCTTTAAAGTAGCTTCGTGAGTTTGGTGTGTGGTACCTGAGGAAGCAGTTCCTAGGCACTTTCACTACATTGTATCATCGGGCTCCCCAAACACCTAAAGTTCAGAGCGTCACAGGGAGGTCACAGTTGTGGGGTGGCTTGTAATCAGGGGACAGAGAGAGAGAAGAAGACCCTTGGGTCCAGAGACCCTGGAGGCTCCCAGCACGTGGTCCCCGACAGCGGGGAGGCGGGCGAGAGTGATCCTTATTTTACAAAAGAAAAATTTTAAGTCCCTTTTGTAAACTATGTGCCTGGCAGATACGAGTCCATAATAATTACATGTTTTCTCAATTAACAAATAAGTGAATTAAAGTCACACAGCTGACAGGTGGCAGCGAGGGTTAGGGCCCCCCACTGTTCCTTCAACCCCACATTTTGTGTGTTCTGAGTTGATTATATGTGGCCAGAGTAGGTTGCTTGTGGTATTTAAACAGCAAATAGCTCAGCCCCATTCCTTGATTTGTAGGACTCCAAGGAAAGGTTTTAATCCGAGGCAAGACCAGCAACCTTGGGGACCTTCCAGGGAATTTTCTCCTCCCTTGACTTGAGAGCACGCCCCATGATTGATGGATTCAGTTCAGATACTGTGTGTCTCGCAGGTGAACCTTACCAAAAAGAGCAATATCGTTGTTCTTTAATTTTGTGAAAACAGAGATTCCTCCCCTGCAAGGAAGAAGATCAGAGAGGCCGTATCCTAGATGTCACTTCGGCATTCCCAAAGGTACAGATGCTTTTTAGAAGTGTAATGCAGTGTCTTTCAATTGTTGTCTTTTTCATCTACTTTGCATTCTTTTTTTATATAATTTTTTTTTTTTTTGCAGTACGTGGGCCTCTCACTGCTGCGGCCTCTCCCGTTGCGGAGCACAGGCTCCGGACGCGCAGGCTCAGCGGCCATGGCTCATGGGCCCAGCCGCTCCGTGGCATGTGGGATCTTCCCGGACCGGGGCACGAACCCGTGTCCCCTGCATCGGCAGGCGGACTCTCAACCACTACTCCACCAGGGAAGCCCTGCATTCTTTTTTTAATATTTATTTTATTGAAGTGTGGTTGATTTACAATGTTGTGTTAGTTTCTACCGTACAGCAAAGTGATTCAGTTATACACATATATATTTTTCATATTCTTTTCCATTATGGTTTATCATAGGATATTGAATATAGTTCCCTGTGCTACACAGTAGGTCCTTGTTGTTTATACTTTGCATTCTTAACGTAAAGCTGTAAACACTGCTGCTAGTTAGGGTTGAAGAGCTTGGTTGCTTGGCCCTAATCCAATCCTGCAGCCTCTCCCAGGCTTTTCTCATCCAGGGGCTGCTGAGCTGGGTCTGAAGGGATTTAGGACACAGGTCTCTTGGTTTCTTGCTCCCTTTTCTTTCAATGCAGAGGAGTCGCGTATGGAAACAATCATACATTCTTATGACATGAAATTTTGAAAATCTCAAGTTACTACCCCTTCTATTTTTTAATCTTTTTCATTGCAAAGTAGTATGCGTTCAGAAGAGGAAGTCTGCAAACTTGCAAAGAAGCAATTGCTTTCAATGCAGGTTTGTGAGATGAGTCCATGCTTTCATCACAAGCTTTCTGTGTGTCATTGGTCCTCAAAGTGTGGCCAGCAGCATCGGCAGATGTCAGAAATGCACATTCTCGGGCCCCACCCCAGACCCACTGAATCAGAGACTCTGGGGTGGTGCCCAGCAATCTGCTTTGAAAAGCCCTCCAGGGGATTCTTAGAAGCTACAGCATGAGGACCACTGATGTAAGAACCGTGCAAGGTACTCGGCAGGCAGCTAGGCTCCCTAACCTGAGAGTGAATTCCTGGTAAACTCAAGCATGTCAGTTACATAATCTACTCAATATGATACTTGTTGAAATACCTTATGTCCTTAAATAATCATCTTTAGTCAACAAAACAATTTAAATAAATACGCTACAGAAATCGCTCACACATCCTTGTGCTGGTCCTCAGGTCTGAGACAGACGTGGCAGCATGGCCAGCAGACATGGGGCCGGACATGGAAACACAGCCCAGGAGCTCTTTCACTGCATGGCCAGACCTGCAGACAAACTCCAGGTGTGCGGTTCCAATAGACTTTTCACAATAGACTGTGATCAGGGGTCAGTGGTCATGGATTAACCAAAATTGTTTATAAGGAATCTGTTCGTCCTGCTAAACTGGGATTCCCTAGAGGTGAACCTATAAACAGACAAAGAACTAGGCCCTCAGCGAATTCCACTAAGTCTTTAAATCAGCTCATGTGGAAACGTTTATGTAAAATAAAGTGAAAAAAAAAATCACAGTAAAAAACGGGTCCATGGGGGGCTTCCCTGGTGGCGCAGTGGTTGAGAATCCGCCTGCCGATGCAGGGGACACAGGTTCGTGCCCTGGTCCGGGAAGATCCCACATGCCACGGAGCGGCTGGGCCCGTGAGCCATGGCCGCTGAGCCTGCGCATCCGGAGCCTGTGCTCCGCAATGGGAGAGGCCACAACAGTGAGAGGCCTGCGTAACAAAAAAAAAAAAAAAAAAAAGGGTCCATGTACATTAAGCAAAGATTGAAAGTAAGTTAGAAATGATGACAGTTATTAAAAATTCAAAATTGAGGTTCCTTTTTTCTTCCATGTTGCCTACAGACCTACTTTCAAGTTTGCACCTACTTTAAAACTTCTGACTGAGACAGAAGGGTTGAGTTTCTGAAACCCAGAAGGACCAGGTTTCAGCCCTGACTCTGCCACTGACACCCACACCTCTTAAGCGAGGTCTCTACGGGGTCAAAGCATCAGGCCCATCTTCATTGGTAAATGGGAACTAACACCTGCCCTTGGATCTCACAGGCTGTTTCGCTTAACAACAGAGGGGCTGTAATAACTTACACAGGGGCTTCATAGACGGTAAAATGAAAAAAGAAAGGATGATTTTATCAGGCACTCAGCAGTTCTGGACTCTGGCAATCCTATTTTTTTTTTAAGATTTTTTTTTTGATGTGGACCATTTTTAAAGTCTTTATTGAATTTGTTACAATATTGCTCCTGTTTTATGTTTTGGTTTTTTGGCGTGAGGCATGTGGGATCTTAGCTCCCCGACCAGGGATCAAACCCTCACCCCCTGCATTGGAAGGCGAAGTGTTAACCATTGTACCTCCAGGGAAGTCCCGGGCAATCCTATTAATTAAATGTCCTTTGTAGGTAGTGACCTGTAGTAGCTAATGAGGAAGTGAAATAGCAACCAACAGCTGTCTTACTGACCAGGCTGCAGCTCCCTGTGTCCTGGGAAGCACAGTGACACCATTACCAGGCATGCGGTGAGAACAGAAGCAAACGAATATGGAAACTAACATTTATTACACACTTACTGTGTGTCAGGTGCAGGTAACCTTTCCCTAAATCAGGTCATCTAATCGTCCCAGCCACCCTAGTGACAGTCCTGTTCCCATTATACAGCTGAGCTAAGTGAAGCTCACGGGTGACAGAGTGAGTGGGGAGGTATGATTGGACACCGGGTCCATGTCGTTTCTGGTGTCCTCTCACCACACTGGACATCTGATAAAATTGACACGTGGTGCTCTGTGTCTTTCACAATGGCCTTGAGGGCCTTATTTTCTTGTCCTGCTTGCTCATCTGAGTCTGGCCTGGAGTCCTCAGCCCCACCCCCTCCCCTGAAAGAAATGTCAGGTGACTGTGACCCAAAAAAACTGCAGAACGTTTTTTAAAATTTTTATTTTATTTATTTATTTTTGGCTGCATTGGGTCTTTGTTGCTGCACGCAGGCTTTCCCTAGTTGTGGCGAGCGGGGGCTACTCTTCGTTGCGGTGCGCAGGCTTCTCATTGCAGTGGCTTCTCTTGTTGTGGAGCACGGGCTCTAGGCATGTGGGCTTCAGTAGTTGTGGTGCGTGGGCTCAGTAGTTGTGGCCCACGGGCTCAGTTGCTCCACGGCATGTGGGATCTCCCTGGACCAGGGATCGAACCTGTGTCCCTTGAAATGTCAGGCGGATTCTTTTTTTAAAAAAATAAATTTATTATTTATTTATTTTTGGCTGCGTTGGGTCTTCATTGCTGTGCACGGGCTTTCTCTAGTTGCGGTGAGCGGGGGCTACTCTTCGTTGTGGTGCGCTGGCTTCTCATTGCAGTGGTTTCTCTTGTTGCGGAGCACAGCCTCTAGGTGCACAGGCTTCAGTAGTTGTGGTGCACAGCCTCAGCAGGTGTGGCACACAGGCTCAGTAGTTGTGGCTCATGGGCTCTAGAGCGCAGGCTCAGTAGTTGTGGCGCACAGGTTTAGTTGCTCCGTGGCATGTGGGATCCTCCTGGACCAGGGCTCAAACCCGTGTCGCCTGCATTGGCAGGCGGATTCTTAACCACTGCACCATCAGTGAAGTCCCTGCAGAACTTTTTTGATTCAGTTACATCTCTCAGTGGACATCTGAGCTTGTAATCTGGGGGGAACCTGGAAGGTTGGTATTTTCAGGGTCTTGTTTGTTGGGAGAGGTAGGAAGATGCCACGGTCCCCGTACGCAACCAGGCAGTGCTCTCCTGAGGTGTCGCCAATTCCGGCCTCCAAGACTAGGTACATGTGGTCCCTCAGCTTCAGTCTCCTTGTCCATAAAGTGGGAGCAACCACAGGCCTTGCCTCGCTGCTCTTTGGTGTACAGCTGTGTTGAGTTTCAGCAGAATCTCAGGAGGAAGCTGCAGGCCAAGGTGACCGGGTTGGCAGGTCGCTGGTCTCCAGAGGCCGTGGTGAGCTGACCTGGGGCTTGGTCACAGGGGGTGGGGAGCTAGAGGCAAGATCCTGGGTGCAACCAATGGGCCGTAGTTGTTTAAGTCACTGCATCTTTGATGCATTTTGCTCATAAACCCGCCCCCTGCAGAGAGTGGAGGCGACTGCCAAGCCCCTCCTCCCGCCTCCACCGTCTCCCCCACCCCCATACTTCTCACACCGGAGGATGACATACCCGCTACTAGGTGACTGCATCCACAGAGGAGGAGTCCCCCCAGCGCTGCTGCCGGGGCTGCCTGGGGAGCACGCTTCACCTAGGACCTCTGACCAGTTATTGTTTTTGCCCAGCCAGGACTTCTCAGAATAAATTGAGATAAAGGTAAAGGTTTATTTATCCTTCCACATCTCCAGTGAGCATTAATGCTATTTGACTAAAAAGAATGATGCTAAACTCTGCCCTCGAAGGAGGCGTGGGGTCCTGGGTGGGCTGGTCTGGATTGGTTTGTGGGGTTTCAGGGCCTGAGTCCAGAGGCCTGCACAGACCCGAGATACAATATCCTTGAGAGGTGACTTGAAAGCTGTGGACACCAACCAAAGGGTCCTCCGTCTAGTAATTCAGGGAGGAAAACTCCAAGTTCAAGCTGGGCAGATGGAGGCAGGGAGGCCAGGAGGCGGAGAAGCCTTGAGCAGAGTGTGGGAGGCTGGGCCCTTCCCAGGCTCTGCTTCCTGTGCTGAGGTCCATAAAGCCTCCCGCCCAGCACCGCGCCCTAAAGGCATCGTCGCTCGCTAACCCACTAACCTCAGTTAGGGGCCTACATGCTCTCCCAGGTGGATCCACGCGCAGCAGCTCTGTCCGCCACTAAGCAGAGGCGGTCGGGCTTCTCACCACTTCATCTACCGTTTCCCATCCAGTTCCCTCTCCCCTTGATCCAGTCAAGGCCCATTTGGCCTTGGTATTTGCATGTGGCCCAGTTTTTAACCTTGGGACCCTCTTGAAGACCCCGGTGTGCACCCCTGCCCCAAGTCCTCCCGGTCTATGATCACGTAGTGTATCTGTCTCAGCTTGGGTGCCAGCCCTGGGCCCTGGTCCACTGGTTGGTGCTGGGCCAGCGGGGGCATTGAGATCTTTCAGAGAAACATCTCTTTCC